AGTGCAGCCGGTCTGATGGCCGAGTGCTGTGATGTGCCCAGTGTGGGTAGTCCGGGCACTCCAAGCCAGGACTGCTTTGTAAGCGGGGCACCCCTGAGAACTGTCTGTCCGGGGTGGGGGTCGGGACCCTTTAAGCACAGCCCTCGGCTAGCCTGAGACAGCGTCTCCATGCTCTAAGTCCTCCTCTGATCGTTGTAGTGTAGACGTACCCTTAGCCTTTACTTCCACAATGGGAACATATCTACTTGAATTATTTCTCTCCCCACTTTGAGAGAAAATGCAATTCCATTTGATAACTCCTTACATTTTAAAAAATCAGGAGGAGTCCAGTGGCACCTTAACAGCTCACAGATTTATTTGGGTATAAGCTTTCATGGACAAAGACTCACTTTGTCAGTTGCAAGGACTCCTTGTTGTTTTTATGGATACAGACTAACACAGCTACCCTTTTGATCATTAAATTTTAAATGATCCATCCTCCACCTTCTCCTTCACAAGCACAGTCCCTGGAACTAATACCATTGTCTCCAGCCTCAACATCTATTCTTAGTAAAGAGAAAACCAAGACAATCAAGTTCAAATCTTGTAATCCCTGAAAAATGGGGAAGGGATGTTTTTAGCAACGTAAAACAGGTGCCTCATTGTAGAGTATTTGACCAAAGTCATGTCTTTCTTCTCTTTTTTTTCTAAGACAGTTGTTGCACGTTAGAGACTAACACATTTATTTGAGCATAAGATATATGTGTGGGGGTACATCTACTCTGCACAGCTATTTTGGGATACCTCTAGTATCCCAAAATAGCTTCCCCTGTCTACACAAGCTGCCTGTTATTTTGAAATATTTTTCACCTAGGGAGCTGTGTAGAGACACCCCTTAGTCTTCCAGTCTCAGAGGGGGTAGCTCTGTTAGTCTGTAACTTTAAAAACAACCAATAGTCCTGTGGGACTTCAGAGACGATGTCTAGAGAAAGAGAGTAAGTAGCATGACCTTTTGCGGGCAAAACCCACTGCTTCAGATGAGGGGCTGCCACAGGACTGGGGGCTGGTGGGGGGAGGAGCCGCCAATCATGCTCAGACTCCTCTTGTCGCCCTACCAATGTCCGCTGCCCCTGACCTCTGGACGGCGTCCGGGCAGCTGTGCTGCCTCCAGTCTCTGGGTAGGAGTCAACAGGGTGGGGCGCTCGGGCTATTCCAGCAGTGTCTGAGCTCGGCAGACTCGCTGGGTTTTTCCGGGGCGCTGCGAGAAGCGGAGGCTGCGAGCCGGTCAGTTCCCCAGCCAAGGCCTC